TGAATGTGCCCTGACCTGGGATGCAACCTGCATCCTTGGGTGTCAGGACGGCGCTCTGACCGACTGAGCTGTCCGGCCAGGCCCAAGGCTGGTTCATTTTCAGGGGCCACATCGAGGCCCTTACCCGATGGCAGCAGGGTTTCCTCGGGAGCACCCCCTCCACTGCTTGCCCCTCCCAAAGGACCTTACCCACTTCCTCCACTGTTGCCCCCCAGCCTCAGTTGCCCATCCAGCCTTACTTTTGACACAATGTCTAGCACAGGCTGGCTTCTCCTGGACCCTCCGCCTCCCAGGCACCTTGCCCCACCCTGATCCATGGGCTCCCGGCCTGCCTTAAGGCTGTGAATGAACGTCTTCCAAGATGACCCTTCTAAGGTTTCTGCCTCCTAGATTTCCCTGGGGCGCAGGTGTCCTGGGCAGGGCAAGGGGTTGGCTGAGGGGGTTGCTTGAGCCTGGGGTGGGCAGAGGAGGAATCCTGATGGGCAGTGGCGGAGCTGCTTTCTGAACAATAGATAAGCAGGGAGAGGCAGGGGTGCGGTGGGGCAGGAGAGTGCTGACTGGTTTGTCTCCTTGCTGCAGTTCCCGGTGGTTCTCGCTGCGGTTACCGGCAGCCCAGCGGTTCCCAGGGTAGCACCCAGGACGTCGTCATTTTAGCCATGCTCCAATCCAACTCCTTCATCTGACAGTGAGGAATTTGAAGCCCAGGGAGGTGAAGGGATTTTCCCAAGGTCACCCAGAAATTTGGTGGCCCCGCTGGGACCACGACTCCAGCCTCTAGACCCCAGTCTCTGGACCCCAGCCAATGCTTCTGAAACAGCTGAGAAAACCCTTTTAATAGTTGCCAGCCTTGTGCCCCTCCTAATTCCAGCTGCCAGGCAAGCAGGGCATGAAAATTTGCAGCTGGAGTAGCTATGTCAAAGTGGCACCTGTCAAGGAGCACCAGGGGCCTGGTGGAGCCGGCAGCCTATGGCCACCCCACCTAGCCCTCTCCTGAGCTAGGAGGGGAGGGCGGGTTTAACCCTTGCTGACCCCAGTGTCCAGGGACTCCTAGCAGCAGGCGCAGGCAGCTCTCACGCTCCCTGCCTCCCAGCTGTGGCTCACTGGGGTGGGAACTGGACGATGTAAGATGTAAGGACGCAGGCTCCACACTGCCCTGGCCCAGCCCTCTCTGTTCTTGAAGCAGCCCAGGTCCCCAGGGGTGGGAGGTAGTGGCATTCTAACTGAGCTCCAGGCCTCTGAGATTGGAGTAGCCCAAACCTCAGCCCCGGAGGGGCCTGCCCCTCCCCAGGGAAAATGAGGGCAGAGCCCTAGCACCCTCAGCCAGGCTCTGCACCTCCCCCACCTGGCCTGCCAGAGGGCCAGGGGCCCAAGAAGGTGGCACCAGGCCGGCAGGCCCCAGGAGGAGCCAGGGCCATCCCAGGGAGAGGCAGAAGTCAGCAGGAGGCGGAGGGAAGGCTCACACAAGGGGGAGTGAGTCACTGAGGACCCGGAAGTGGGCGGGGCCAGGAGTGGGATGGGAGGAAGGGAAGAGAAGGGCAAAGGGGCCCTGGAGTCCCAGGAGTAGAGGGTGGGTATTAAGGGGTGGGGGGCCTCTCCCTTTGAAATCACTGCTAATCAATAGATGACCACAAGGCCAAGCCAAGGGCAAGAGCCTTTGGCCAAGGGCCGGGGAGGGTGTGAGAAGATCAGAGCCAGTGGGCCCTGGGGAGGGAGAAAGCTGACATTCAGCCTCCTTCCAGCCCTGGCCTTCTGACAACAGCCTTCCCCGATGCCGGACGGATGCGGGAGCATAAGGATCCCAGTGTCTAATTTTAGCCAAGTACTCCTTGCCTCCCCTGCTAACAGTGAGCAGAGCCTGGGAGGGTGGGAGCACCTCACTCCTGCCTGGGCCCTGCTCTCATGGAGGTGCCAACAGTCAGGGAGGTCACCCCCAAGCCAGGGTCTCTGCAGGTCAGAGGCGCTGCTGGGCTGGGAGGACCCCTGGCCTGGGGCGGACACTGAGACCAGCTAGTGACACAGTTAAGATTAGACTGGGTGGATTTGTAATCCTGGCTCTGAAGGACCTCAGACAAGATCCTTAACTTCCCTCAGCCTCAGTTTCCTCACCTGTGAGACAGAGATAGTAAGTTCCAATCTCGAATGATGCATGGCAGGCACTGGCCCTAAGGACTCTGAGTTGCCTTATTCCATCGCAGAGGGCCCCAGACTGACTGGTGTCTCCAGACCCAGTCTGCCTCTGCACTGAGCTACACAGGTGAGAAGAACAGCCTGATTCTGTCCAGGAGGCTAACTCAAGCCAACGACTTAACTCCAGGGACCTCGGTGTCTGGACCTTCCAGGAGCTGGGGTTGGGGTGGAGCAGAGAAGGAGCCTCAGGCTGGGGACTCCTGGAGACTGTAGAGGCAATCCCTGTGGGCAGGCTGGGACACAGAGCCCAGGAAGGACCCGACCCTGCCCAGGCACAGCCAGACAGATGGTGGCAGAAGCAGGCGTGACCCCGGTGCCCCCCCATCACCTCCCCACCATGATTTTCACCAGCACGGAAGCCCCCTGCTGCTGCACACAGGCCCCAGGTGCTAGAGCAGAAGTCCCAGCCAGTGTCAGGGCCACAAAAGGTTGCCCAGTACCAACTCCCTAGGGTCACATGTGTCCTCCCAGCTGGCAGCAGCCCATCTGCAGGTGGGGGGTGGGCATGGTCACAAAGCCCCTTCCCAGCAGTCCACACACACAAGGTAGAAGCCATGCAAGGACTGAGGGGGACTTTGTGACCCCGCCTGATGAACCCGCAATCCCCGCTCCACCTTGTGTCCTGGCAGCTGGTCAGCTGGCCCTCCTGCCACAGCACCTTCTGAGCAGGTAGGTCAGGGTGCCTCCTGCAAGAAAGCTCCAAAGAGGAATTTCTAGCACCCCAAATTTCTCAGCACCTGGTCTGAGGCAGGGGCAGAGCCTCAACTCCCTTTCAAGAGTGTTTCCAGATTCTTACAGGGTGAGGGCAGAAGGGGGTGATGTATTTCTAAGCCTTCACACCCAACCTCTTCTCTGTCTTCCCCATTGGTGCCCCCCCCTCACTCAAGAATGGTCTCCAGAGGTAGAAGTGCCCAGCCAAGACCACTCACAGCCCCCTGACGGACCGCCACACCTCCCTGCCTGCCTGCTGGCCCCGCCCTCACCTGCAGGTGTTTACCAGGACTATTCCTGAGAGCAGCAGGGCCTCCGCACCCATATCTGTTGCTCTGAACCCACCTCATCAACCCTCTAACCCTAAGATGGGCTCAGGGTGCAATCAAAACTAGGTGCTGCTCACACGGAACAGCAGGAAGGGATGTGAGAAGAGGTCCGTTCGGGAGCCAGCAGTCCTGGGATCGGCTCAGCTGTGCACACAGCTGAGTTCCCAGCTAAGTTCCCAGGATGCTGCTCCTCAGGTCCTGAAAACTGAGTTGGATAGCAGGGATGAGGCAAACACAAGGCCTCTCCCACGGTGGGTTGTCAGCAGACGATTCCTAAATGTGTGACTGCCTCTCCTGAGTCTGGCTACAGCCCCTCAGGATGGAGGTGTGGTGTGGGGAACAGACTAGGCAACCAGGGTTTCAGACCCGGTTCCCCCACCCCGGGGCTGGGGGTCCGCCTCCAGCCAGGCCACTGAAAAGAGATGGTGCCACAGACAGAACCACACCTTTTCTGCAACGGACTTTCATGACGCTGTGATTTGGGCCACACCTTTTCTGCAACTACCCAGCTGCAGTTTCCTCGTCTGTAAAGGTAGCACACCTGGCAAGGTTGCGAGGCTCACATGAGAGAATGTATTCACAATGAAATGGCAACAGTCCAGTGCCAGCAGGAAAATTTCCTGCCATCTCCAGAGACTGGAGGGAGCCCCTCCCCCGGGCCCATGGGCCTGCCCCTGGCAAGCCCTCGGGCAACAGGAAACAGTGTGGTCAGGCGGAAAGAGCTTGGGCCCGGATAACTAACCAGGTAATCAGACAGAGCTCCAGAAGATCGATCAGCTCAGGGGACAGACGAACTATTCTGATCTGCCCTCGTCAGGCCTCAGGGCCTTGGCCATGGGTGCAGGCTGGTGGGCAGGGCTGGGAACTCCTCAGAGCAGGGCCTGGTATTCTTGGTAAATCCTCAGCAGAGCTCTACATTGCCAAGGACACCAGTTTTGGTGGACACGTGGAGGTGAAGGGTGTCCTTACACTTCCAGATGCTGGGGCCTCACTGCTCCTTCCCGCCTCCCCTTCCAGGCTTCACCCTCCCCAGCACCACCCTAAATACCCCCAGTCTCCCAGTGGCCCCACCAGCAGCCTGCTGTGTCTGGCCTGAGGCTGCCCTCTCGGAGGTGGGACAGGAGGACTGGTGTGTGGAACTCCTTTGCACAGGGACGCTATGGGGCCTTGGGTGCTTTATCTGGAAATGAGGAAACTCCAATACAGACATCATGACTGCATCTCAGTGTGAGGCAGCCTGAAGCTGAGCAGCCCCGCTCCCTCTCCTGCCTGCACTGAAGGCAGCAGCTTAGAGTCCACAGAGAGCCCGTCCTCCCTCCCGCTACCCTCTACTGCATGGGTAGTGCCAGACCACCTCCGCTGGCCCCCACTCCTGCACCTGACTGCCCAGCAAGGCCAGCTTGCAGCTGACTCTCAAAGTGCCAAGTGTACCACACACACGGCACCCTTTTTGCACGTGCTGTTTCCCTGCCCAGAAGTCTTGCCTCTGGGTGTTCTCCCCCAGGTCCCAGCCCAAAGGACACCACCTCCAGTCAGGCTCCCTTTCCTCCTTCCCAAGCAGCTGGCCTCAGGCTCCTCTGACCATTCCGCCCCCCATGGCTCACAAGGAGGAATAGGGGACGCCGCGTGGATGAAGCAGACAGGCAGACAGCTGGATGGGCACCAGCTGGCAACACCTGGAGGAGGGGAGGGCAACTGGCCCGTGCCAAGTCTGCTACAAGTAGCTAAGGAAGAACTACAGTCAGCAGCTCTTGGGAAACTGACACAGAGTGCTTATTACAAAATATCTTTTATTGATAAAATAGCTCAAACCTTTAAAAATAAAAACCTGCATTTCACAACAGGGCGCTCACAGGCAACAACAGCAGGGGTGCCCTGAAGCATAGGTGAGACCATCAGAAGATGTTACAAGCCAGTCCCTCTCCTGGGTCCACCTAACTACCCAGCCCTGCCCCAGGGTGATGCCCTGGCCTCACACTGAGACTAAGGAATGAACGGAGGACTCTCTTTGGTCCTCTCCATTCCTTTCACCCCAGAAAATGCCTCCAGTACCCCTCCCAATCTGCGCAGGTCTGTTAGAGAGCCACCAGTGCCCTCCCAGTGGGCCCCGCCCCAGCTAAGATCCCACAAGCTTACTGTTGAAGTCAAGCACTCCCGGAGGGGACCACTGGGAAACATCTTTCACATGCTCCAAACTGTTCTGGGTTCAAGGGTCTGGGTGGGGGTTAAGAATTAGGAGAAAGAGGCCCCTGGAGCCACATTAGTGGGATAGAGCCACACGGCTGGGTTGGTGGTGGCCAGCCAACACCCACCAAGGTGGGGTCAGTTGTGCATCACAGGGACCTTTTTGGGGCTTAGAGCTCTGTCTGGCGATCCTGTATGAGGCTCCCCAGGGTTCCAGAAGGCCACGGCTTACCTGCCCAAGCCCAGAACCCTGCCTGAGAGCTCTGTCACCCGCCACGGGCTCCCACATCAGACTGTTCCCAGGCTGTGGGTATTTTTAGCTATCTTGGGGAAACAATTTGCCTGCATGATGACAAAAGGCTTATTCCCCATGAGGGGCCCAAGCCACAAAAAACCCTCTTGGTGTTGCAGGTAAAATGTCAAGAAGTTGTCATGCAGCATAATAACTCAAACCTTTGCAGGCACAAGAACGCATTCTCAAAGAAACCCTTTAACTGAAATAGTCATTGTGTCTGCCACTCCCCACTTCCAGTTTGGGGTAGGAATTCACACACCCCAGGCACAGAACAGAAGTCTACAGGAACACAGGTGGTGGTGAACACAGAGAAAGGGGTTTTTATATCACCAAATAATCACATTTTCTGGTTCTCTAGGTCCCCCCACAGAGCTCAAAGCTTTCTGCAACGCCTTTCATCTCCCTGCAGCAAGTAGGCGGCGAGCTATTGTTGCCCTGAATTTTGCAGGGGGTGAAGGCTAGTGATCAGGGATGTCCTGTTGAGGCAGAGGCCAGGTCTCCAGAGGGGCGCCGGGTGCGACACAGATCACAGTTCTAGCTTTCAAAGAAACCACAAATCCAAGAGCGGGGAGAAGGGGAAGAAGGGCCCAGGGACAGCGCCAGCCCATAAACCCCCACCCAGAGCCTGTTGGGGTCCGCAGGCACTCAGTGTGGATGCACAGCTGTCATCGACTCTGCCCCTCCCTCAGCAGCAGGCCCTCTTGGGGGGAGTGGAAAGCTGGCTTCCTGCTCTTTACTGGGGAAGATGAAAAAGAAACAAAACACCACCCGCAAGGGGCCTGCCAGGGACCACAAGGTTCTCAGGAAAGCTTACTGGGTTCCAGGGTTCCAGGAGGGGGGTGCTCTATCCCAGCCTGGCCTCAGCCACACTTAGGAAGGTCCGGCCTCCTCCATTTCTCTGTGGTCTGGCAGGGTGTGGAGAAGATGTTCCCCCACGGCTAAGCCAGCAAGGGAAGGCTTATTATAGTCCCCTGTGAACTGCACCCTGCCCATGCCTCTCCCAGGTGCTCCCAAGATGAGGCCTGAAGGACCTGGGCAGAGACCAGACAGCCCCGGGGAGACAGCCACATAAAACAGGGTAGGAAGCAGGGGGGACCCTGGTGCCACCTGGCACCAACCCCACAAGGGCAGCAGGCAGGCGGCTCACCAGGCCGTCTGGGTCCACTGTCGGCAAAGGATCCTTCGGAAGGCACGACGGAAGTCCTGGTTGAAGACAGTGTAGATGACAGGGTTCAGCGAGCTGTTGCAGTAGCCGATCCAGAAGAAGAACTGGAAGAGGCCATGGGGCACCTTGCAGTGCTGTGGGCAGATGGCACCCAGACTGTAGCTGAAGAAGAAGGGGAACCAGCAGAGCACAAAGACGCCAATGACCACGGCCAGCACAAAGGTGAACCTCTTCTCCCGGGTCAGCTGAGCCCGCCGACGCCACCACTGCCCACCCGCAGCACCCATTCCCCTGCTCAGGAGCACCTGGCCACGCAGGGTGGCCAGCACCTGGGAGCCCTGTGGCTGCTGCAGGGATGGGTTGCAAGCTGAGGCAGGGGATGCTGGCAAGGCCTGAGGCTCACACTCATCGTCATCCTCCTCCTCTTCCTCTTCCTCCTCCTCCTCTCCAACTTCATCTTCAGGAGACAGTCCACAGACAGCTTCCTTTGGATCCTGGCATGCTCGGGGAAGGGAAGGCCAGCTGGGTGGCAAGGCAGGGCTCGCAGTATCTTCAGGTGTCCTCCCCTGCTCCTTCTCCCCAGTGGACTTAGAGTGTCCATTGGCCTCTCCCGGAGCAGCCAAATGAGGGGCCAGGGTTGGCTGTTTGACTGGGGCTCCCCCAGGGACCCGGTGGGGCTGCTTAGATTTACCCTCCCCAGGGCTCCCCTTGGCCCTGGGACTTCTGCGGTGGCTACGTTTAGCTATCAGGTAGATGCGCAGGTAGACGAGGATCATGATGAGGCAGGGTGCGAAGAAGGACCCAATGCTCGAGGCCAGGATGTACCAGGCCTCTTCGTTGAGCTTGCACTGCGGGCGCCCGCGGGGCTGGGGGCCCGGGTCGCCCTTGTAGATGAGAGGCGGCAGCGAGATGACAGCTGCAATGAGCCACACCGTGAGGATGATGCACTTGATGCGGCGCGGGGTACGTTTGGAGTTGTACTCCAGAGCGCGGCTCACAGCCCAGTAGCGGTCCAGGCTGATGGCACACAGGTGCACGATGGATGAAGTACAGAAGAGCACGTCGAGCGCCAGGTACACCTCGCACCACGTTCGTCGGAAGTACCAGTAGCCCAGCAGCTCGTTGGCCAGTGAGAAAGGGATGATGAGCGCGGCCACCAGGATGTCGGCTGCGGCCAACGACACCAGGAACAGGTTCTGCGGGGCTCGCAGCGAGCGGCTGGTCAACACCGCCAGGATGACCAGCGCGTTACCAAAGATGGTGAAGAGAATTAGGAAGGTGATAACCGCCGCGATGGCTGCGGTGGCCTGCACCGAGTAGGGCTCCTGGTGGTCCATGGCAGGGTCGAGCAGGCCAGAGGGGGCGTTGCTTGCCCAGCGCGAGTACAGGGGGCGACAGTGCTGGTCCACCCAGCTAGGCTAGATGAGGGGCTCGCCCTGCTGCCGGTGCTGAGGGTGCTGGAGCCCCATGGCTGGGCCGAGTGGGACCCAGGAGGTTGGGGGAAGACTGCGGCCAGGCACCACTCCCCTACATCCTCTTCCACCGGAGCCCGGTGTCCCTGCCGTCCGCCCTGAGAAGTTTTTCAAGTTGTCCCGCTGCCTGCCCTGCCCTGTCAGGGAGGAGGGGAAAGTGGCTCCCTCCCACCCCCCAGGCTGCCGGACTTGCTCCGGGGCCCAGGGTCCCACGGGCTGCAGGGGCACTCCTGCCGGTTCGGAGGAGGCGCGGAGGCCGAGGTTCTCTCTCGGGCTCAGGCTCCGAGCCGCGCCTGCAGGCAGTGAGCGGCAGCAGGGGAGTGGGGAGCGGAGCAGCGTCTGCAGGAGGGAGGAGACTGGAGGCGGGTGCAGGAGGCGGGGCAGGCGCTGGGTGGGCGGCTTCTGGGTGGAGGGGCGCTTCGAGGAGGACTGGGCGCCGCAGCCTTTCCGCGTCTTGCCCCCGCTCCTGCCCCTTTCCCCCCCGGCCTCTGGGTACCGGAGGTCTGAAGGGCCCGGCAACTGGGATCTTCCAGACGCTGGGAAGAATGCTTGCGGGAGTGGAATAGTCGGTGTGTGCAGGGAGCGAGGACGCTGCGCCGGCGCGGCCGCGGGCACCGAAGGGGACCTCTCTCCGACAGAATACTGGGCTGGGACCGAGCCTGGGAAGTTAGAACGGTGGGCACGAACTGATCGCTGCTCTCGTCGCCCAAGAGCCCCAAGGAGAGACTGGGTGGGTGTTGGGCGCTGTGGCACAATAAACTGCAGCCACACCGGCGCCCGAGAAAGAAGCCAAGTGGAGGGGGTGAGGGAAGCGGGGAGACGGCTGCAAACCCCAACTCCTAATGCGTTCCTGCCCAGACTAGGTTCCCGTCGGGCCGGAGGTGCCGGGGGAGACATTGTGTGGCTGGGTGGCGAGCGCCCCCTGCCGCCGTCTTCAGCCCGCCGGACCGGCATCCCCGCAGTGTCCAGAGCCCCGAAACGCTCCAAGCCAGAGGGGCAGGCGAGTGCTCGGAGATTTACTGCTTCAGTCGCCCTGTTTCTCTTGCAGCTGCCTCGGTTTCCTCCGTTGAGGAGAAAGAGGTAAGAGGAAAACTGGCTTGACTCAAATCTCGGCAGCAACCAAGATGAAGCCAAAGGTTTGTTTGGGAGAGGGGGCTCTGGGCACACAATCTTTTGACCGATAGCAAGAGGATGTCCCCGGACACAGAGCAAGGAGACTTAGTGGGGGTCTCAGGAAAAACGGGTCTCAGGGTCAGCTGTGAAAGGAAGGGTTTCCCTTGCTCCCTGTCCAGTCCGGCTGACTGCCACGTGCACGCTGCGCGCCCCTCTCTGGTGGCCGCGGGAAGAGGAGTTGAGGCAAGAAGAAATTTCCGACTAAACGCACACCCCTCCCACTCCCATCCTGGCCTCGAAGAGCTGTGCAGCCATGGCTCTCCCTCAGGAACCCCGTTCCTACCCACCCTCCTGCTGGCCATCGCCTCTAGGGCCAGCCTGAGCAGCCTCAGGGGCACTTTTTTCTCTGCTTTCAGAGCACCTCATGCTATCACCCCAGACTAGAGTCTGGCCTTGTATTTCTAGCACACAGTGCTGCAGGACATCCTCTGCATAAATAGGTACCTATCCACCCCGGGAAGCAGGACTGGCTTTGGGTCACTGGACCGCCCTTCCTGTCAGCTCCACCCTCGTGGCAGCTGGGAGTGCAGCCTCTCAAGCACATAGACAATGGCTTATCCCTACCCAGTCTCAGATGGATGGCACGCCAGATCCCCCAGTCAAGTGGTATGGGTGGGGAGGTGTGTTCCTCCTTGACCCTGGGCTGCCAGCCTAGCCAGAACCTGTTAGGTGTAAGTGCCCACAGCCAAATTGGTCCAGTATTGGCTGGGCTGGGTTCCAAGCGGGCAGCCAGTCTCTCTTGCCCTATCAAGAGGCACATTTTATGGATGCCTCCTCCCCACTCACTGGGCTGGGCAGGGTCTGCACCCACAGTTGCCAGGGATGGAGAGGTCTCAGTAACTCCTTCTATGAGGAAGGACAGAGGGTGAACACTGGAGCCTGGGGAGAAACCACTTAAGCAAGTTCCCACCTGTCTCTGTGGCTCCCTGTTCCCAGCTGTGCAGTCCGAGAGCCCTGGTGGCCCAAACGGGCTTGGAAAGGACCACTTGTACCCTCTCCAACATACTCAGGTGGGGGTGGGGAGGAGGTCCAGACAACACCACAAGCATCAGCCTTTGTCTCTGGCCCATTTTCCTTAAAAGGCCAGGCCTCAAGGCTACTGGAGAAACTGAGGTTGGAACTACTTTACTCCCTCCCCTGCCCCATTCAAGTCCCCACTGAGGGGTTCTCACCTGAAGGGGCAGCTCTGAGTCTGCCCAGCACCAGGACCTGCTGGGTACCAGCCCAGGTGGAGACAGCCAGAGATGGTCTATAAGCACCCATGAAGCTCAGCCACCACCCCAGGCTCTGTGTCATCTGCTGCCACCTTTCAGCCCCACCCTCCAGACATGCCTCTGGCTTTGGGGGCAGTGGGGACCATTATATAACAGGATTTCTGCTCCTCTCTGCAGCTCTCCATCTTCTCCACAGAGCTCTGGCTGCCTGTTCCACCCAGCCCCGCAGGAATCAGAGCCTCAGGCCACAGCAGGGCTTCCTTCAAGTACATCTGACTTTTCATTGTCATCCTATTCCACCAGGTAGAGTTCGGATCCAGACCTATAAGCAGCCGGCAGCAGGAACTGCCTAGAGCAGGCACTGGTCTGCCTTCCTGGCCCCACCAGGTTGCATGGTGGTCCCTGGACATTGCCCTAAGCTCCCCCATCTCCAGTCCTTTCCAGGGGCTGTTTGCTTTGCCAGAAACACCCTCCTTACTCTCTTTCTGTGCTTGCTGCGCCCTGCTCTCTCTTTATGGAACACTCATCTGTCACCATCCTCACAGACGGAAGGAGGTGCCCTGTTCTCCACGTTCCTTGATTCCTTGATCCCATGCACATAGCACCAGTCTCTGCTCAGAGCACTGTTCTGAGACGGTGTCCAGTGGGTTTCCTGCATCACTCCCTCCATCGGAGCAGACATCCTGTTGAATGGTGACAGGCAGGTACCAGGCAGGCAGGGTGCCCAAATGAAGGTACCCTCAAGGGATGTCCTTGGAAAGGGGGGCCACAGGGACAAGGTGACCTGGTACCATCTTTCCCAAAGAAGGAAGACAGTTGTTCCATTCCTGGCTGTGAGAATGCAGCAGGAGTTATGCCGTCTTAGCTGGAAGCCCTGGACCCACTTCTGCAGGCCTAAGAGGTGAGACTGGTCCCAGGTTCTCCCAGGCCAGGGCTCCAGCAGTGCAGTGCTCGCCAGGATGATCCTCAGACCACCCTGTATGACTGGACCTCGCCCCTTCCCAGACCCTTGAACAGTGCTCTCTAATGTCAGTCAGTCATCTCCCTCCCTCCATCACACTCACCTAACAACACCCCAACCCTGGTTAGAAGTAAATCATTCTACTTTCTGCTTTTGACCAAGTGGCTGCCTTTTCTGGAGCAGAACACTCACTGCATTGACTGGCCTTGCTTTCAATTCACAACCACAAATCTTTCCTAGAGTTTGGTTCCCTCTGTTCAGAATCAGCTTTGCTTTCATTATCCTTTCTCCACCTCTCATCGCCCCCATCCCCTTGGCCTCTGCCCCTAAGCTGTGGCTTTGCCTAACACTCAGGAGAAAGTGAAAGCCATCAGGTGGGATCTCCAGGCTGTCAGTCCACATGCTCCCTGGTCCACTCATTCCAGTTCTAGCAGCCTCAGACGATGCGCACAGTCCCGGAGCCCTGCCTCTGCCCTTGGTCCTCAGTGCTGTAAGCGGGGCCCTCAACCCCTGCATCCAGTCGCTGGTGTGAGTTCCTCAACCTTGAAAATACACTCCGAAAGCACCCACTTCTGCGCATTTCCGCTGCCCCAATTGCTTTTGCTTGTGCAACTGTAGTGTTCCCATCCGTTTTCCACAGAGCAACCAGAATGGCTTTTAAAATATTAAATCAGATCTTATCACTCCCCTCCCTAGAACCCTTCAGCAGCTGCTCCCTGCTGGTCTCGGAGAATAAAACCTTCCCTCTCTGAGGGGCCTGGCTCTGCCTGCTCCCCACTCTGCATCCGCTAGTTCGCACAGGCCTGACACACCCTCTTCCCGCATCAGAGCCTTTGCATCTGCCATTCCTTCTCCAGGTTTTCACAGGGGAGCCTCATCCTGTCATTCAGGCCTCAGTTGAAATGCCAACACCAGAAAGGAATGCTCCCCTCCCCCATCACAAGTGGGTTGTTTTTGTTTTTTTTTTACCTGCCTGTGTACCTCCATCCCTCTCCCCATCCAAATAAACTCATAAGCAGAAATCCGGTCTTGCTTACCATGCTATTCCCAGCACCTACACCAGAACCTGCCTGGCACCTAGTTCATGACAGATGTCTGTTGACTGAATTGATCAGTGAGTCCCCATAGCTATGTGGTTGGGGATCGGAGAACAGGCCACAGACCCTAGGATGGGGTGGCTAGCCACCTGGGCTCTGGTTAACACCCTCTCAGGGGCTGAACCAGGGCTGGACAACCAGGGACAGGGTGAAGCTTGTGCAACAGGCGTAGGCCCAGAGCTGGCCTAGGGAATGGGCTCTATAGTGATAGGTGGCTTCATGGGGAAGGACATGGCACAGGCAGCCTTATCCCTACTCAACCCCAAAGGGGAGGGGTGCTCTTTCCCTTGTGCCCCAGATTCTGCCAGCCTTACCTCGGTCACTGGAGAGTGCAGATTCCAAGACCGGAGCCATATCCTAATGGAGGCATGTGATGGGAAGCCTCAGAGCTGGGAGGACCTCATTGAACACAAAGCATGTCACCTCCTCCAACTATCGTGGCCCTCAGGAAACCCCAGGCCAGAGCCAGAGGCCCGGCTCAGCCACTCAGAGAGACCCGCAGGTGAGGCAGTCACACCCATTTCCTTATACATGAGGGGTACTGAAGGTGCTGTGTCTACCTTAGGGTCGGTCCAAAGACTGCTTAGCAATCTCTCAGGGGAGCTGTCACTTGCTAGGAGCATAGCCAGAACCCCAACTCACTCTAAATTCAGACACCCTTCTCCATGCCTGGGAGCAAGAATAGGATAGCATTTCCCCCACGTGATCCTCCACTGAAGCTAATGCTTGGGATCAGGCTCCTGTTTGGTCCCACAAAATCCTTGACCCAAGAGAGCCTGAGGGCCGAGGCTCAACATCCTGAGAGTGTGCCCGCATGTCCCCTGAGGTGTGCAAAGGCAGAGGCTCAGCCTGCACTCTCCCTCTGGAAAATGGGTATGACCACCTGAGGACCTGCCCAGGGCAGTAAGGAACAGCAGAGGCACTTGTGTGTGTTTTAGTCACCACAGCACCCAAAGCCTAGAGCAAACACCCAACTTTATTTCTGCCTCCAACGTCTGAGGTATCTGGCGCCAGTGGGGCAGGGCATGGACTCCGGTTCTCTTCCATCCCAGGTCACAGAAGAGCGCCACTAGGGGGCTCCTGGCAGGCTCGCAGGCACCCCTGGAGGTGTTCTTTGCTCCCAGAACAGCCCTCACTGAGAAGGCCAGGAGCTGAGGATGACAGGACTGGCTGAAGGAGGGCAAGCAGGGTAACCTGCCCAGCTCGTTGCCACCTTTTAGGGCCTCCTGTAGCCACAGGGGAGAGAAGACTCCAGGAAATAGCAGTACAGAGTGGTAAGGAGCTTTTTGTTCTGTGTTCAGGGTCCTCACATCTTCGCTGACTTTCCTACTGTGCATGTGTAGAGGACCCCAACCTCTTCCTTATCTCCCTGTAGGTGACACCCCATGATTCTGGAGTCTTCCCGAGCTGCAGGAGAGGGAGGTGGGCTCCGAGAACCTCCTGGGGAGCAGAGCTAGACGCTGCAGATGCAGGGCAGCATTCCCAGCACCAGACATCGGGGCAGGAGGCTGCTCCTGAGGTCCCAGCATGGGGCTCCCCTCAAGTCCTGGCCTGAAGGAGAGGTGGGGGCAATACCATTAGTTCACGCTGGGGGACTGGGCTTCAGCTACAGGAGGACTTCCACAGCCTTGAAGGCTAGAATCTTTTTCCTCACCCCTCCAAACCCCTGTCCCCAGATCCCTGGAGAATGTCACCTCCTAGTCCCAGCATCTTCCAGGGCTGAGAGAGACATGAAAGCAGGAAGAGCCAGGTGTTCCTAGCAGGCCTGCCTCCCTCTGACAGACCTAGATGGTCCCTTTGTCCCCAGGAGCCCTTGGGGAAACATGGTGGGGAAGGAAGGGGTAGAGGGAGAGGCCTGGGCCTCAGACAGGGAGGCCAGACTGAGGCTAGAAGACAGGGTTGTCACCTAGAGGGGCTAAGGGTTGCTTGGCCCAGCTGCTCTGGGCTGAGGATGCCCTCCTCGCTTAGGCACAGAAGCTACAGGCTTGACCTCTGGGTATATCCTTGAAGTGACCCAGAGCTGGGTTCCCCAAAGCAGCCTGGATAGATGCAGGCTGCTCTTCTGCTTCTGGCGACAGCACTAGGGGTACAGTGGGCACTTGGGCCTGCCGGGACGACTCCAGGGCAACACCAGGAGTGCCTGCCTTAGCCCCTGAGCCTGTGGAGGAAGCAGAGGCCTCCACACCAAACTTCTGCGAGGCGGGGGCCTCCCACGCCAGCGGGCCCTCGCCAGCCCTGGAGTCACTGGGGTTGGGGCTCCTGGACTCTGCCAACAATGCCTCCAGAAGCCGCTGCAGGTGTGGTCCAGAGGCAGGAGTGGGGCTCCCACCATCACCATGCACCTGGAACCCTGGGGCAGAAAAGACAGGTCACACCCCCAGAATCACAACAGGAAAGTGTGGCCCAGCTGCGGAGAGCCGGAGCTGTCTTCAGTTTTACTCACAGGGAGGTAGCTCCTCCCGTGGATGTGATAGCCCACCATGCCCTGCTGAGTCCAGTGCCTTCTAGAAGTTTTCAAGTTTTTCCATTTATGTGTAAGTCTTATATACATCTGGAATTTATTGCTACATGATGTGAATTAGGAATTTGTTTTTAAAACAGATAACTAGTTGTCTTAGTCTATGGTTGTCCCTCTCTGCTCACCTCTGCAACCCATCTCCCACCACGTCACCCTCACTGACACCACCTCATACAGGGACCTTCTCCAGGTTTCTCAAATCACCCTGCCCCTGTCACTCACCTCTCCCACGGGGACTAGGGCCACTCGGGCTGCAGTCATAAAGCCGGAGGACCCGTGTGATGTCTGAGGTGCTCAGATTCCATCGCTGGCCAATGTGGACACTGGGGTCCCAGAGTGGCGTGATGGTGGGCAGCCCGCGCCGGCTGAAGGCAAGCCTGGAACCCAGCAGGAAGGGGTCTGAGTGTGGATCACAGCGAGGGCTGGCCAGGCAGTGCAGAGGGAGGAAGGAAAGGAAAGGGCCTCACCTCCCGTAGTGCATCACGGAGGTGTAGTCATAGGGCACCAGCATGTTGCTGCTCCGAGATTTGATGAAGTTGATCTCAAAGCCTGAACAAAGTATTTATCAATGGGGAAAGAGAATGGGAGTGACATGGTAGGGGGACAAGGGACTTCCAAGAAGTAAGCTGAGGGGCTCAAAATTACAGCAATGTGCTTCTTTCTACCCCTCTCCCCCCTGCCAGCTGGCCCCTGGTCCTGTCTCTCCTGTGTGCCTTCACTCTTACTACCCCTGACCTGGGAGGCTCCTAAGCAGTTTCCACCTGTCTTTCTTGTCTGCATCTCACGCTCACCTTGCATAAGACTAGTCTTTGTCTTCCTTGAAGCCACTGCCTCTCAGAGCCTTGGATGCCCCTACCCTCCAAGTGAAGAGCCTCCTCCTCACCCGGTTTTACAGACCTGCTAGCTCAGTGTCTGCTGCGGTGAACCTGCATTCCCCACAGCAAGCCCAGCTGTTCTAGCCTCAAGCCAGCAGCACCCAGCGCCCACGTTCGGAGTCCAGCACTCTGTTGGCCAGAGCACCCACTTCTCCACGTCGCCTGGGTGCTCCAGGCCTGGGAAGGGCAGGGTTCCCTCCTCTTCTCTCCTGTCCTTCACAGTGAGCCTCTGAAAGAAGAGCTGAACCCCCGTCTCTGCCCCCAGTGCCCTGAAGCCCCGCTCCAGGCCCAGGCACTTGCACGCCCTCCCCATGGTCACCATGAATCAAATGGCATCCCATCACCTGCCTAAAACACCTGCTCCTAGAGAGTGCTTATTTCTTCCTTAAAAAACAAAAACACCCTTCAGTTATTAAACAATTTGAAACAGGTAATACATTCATCTGGTTCAAAAATAAAAAACTGTAGATATAGTGTCTCCCACTCCATCCACCTTCTGGATGCCCACATCCCCAACACCAGTAGTTACTGCTGACAGTTTGCATGTCCTGGCACAGTTTGTTCGGTATCTATTAACCAAATACAAATATTCTCATTTTTTAAGTTCTTAAGCAAGTTTTCCCATTAGGGTAGCAAGTATATTCACATGTTTTATTGTTAAGAAACAGTTCCTAAGTCTATTAGTGCTTTTTGTTTCCTAACTCATTAATTTCCGATTTTACCCTCATTAATTCCCTCCTGCTTTCCTTTATTTTTTCTTAACTTGGACCGAAACGCTCACTGTGCTCTCTTCGTACTGACAGAGTGGTCAAGTCTGCACAGTTTCCCTGAGCCCTGCTTGAGCCGTGAACCGTTGGTTCTAATGCGCTTATGACTTTTTTCCTTAGAATTCCTCTATTTCCTTAACTCCAGAGATTAGGGAAAGGTTTGTTCTTTGTTTTGGGGGTGTTTTTTTTTAACTTTAATTTTCAAGTGGAAGAAGTATTGTGTTTGTTATTAGTTTTTATGTTTTACTTTACATCATGATCAAAATGTTTATATTAACTTTTCAAATTGGAAGTTTTATTGTTGTCATATAGTAAGTTTTCACAAGTATTCCATAAACACGTGGAAGGGGTATAGTCTGTTTTCAGGGTACAGAGTCACCATCACCCTCTCCTTCCCTACACTAATTCTGATCCCCAATCCCCACGCCCTCAGGCACCCTTCTCTGAGCCTCTAGGATGAGCCTCTAGGATGCTGGTCTCTCTCCGGCACTCGCAGGCCTGACCCACAGCAGGCAGTGGGCCTGCGTGCCCTCTGCCTGCTGAAAGCCTCTGACTCCTCCCTCTGCATCCACACCCCAAACCAAACTCCTCACCATGCATCTCTTCTGCTCCCCTTCTCTGTGAAACAGTTGTCTTCTCACCTCCCAAGTCAGGCTATCCCCCCAAGAGCGCAGGGTCCCCCTGACCAGGATCAAACCCGCTGTACCCAGCACTGTTCCCAGCACACAGGCATTAGGTGTACCGGCCCACTCCCCAGACCAGCCTCCCACGCTTCCTCTGTCCTCCATGCCCACCAGCACCCCCGCACAGGCACCAAGCCCCTGCAGCATTGCCCTCAGCCACCTGCGTCTGACATTGGACACATGCAATCCGCCACCGGCGGGCTCTGCCCGGCTCAGCCCTGCCCCACCCACACGACCATGTGCATGAGGGACTGCAAGTTGGGATACAACGAGCAAGCCTGGTAGGGTACCCAGCAACACGTCCACAGGTAACCGCCAGTGTTCACGAGGACAAATGGTGATGCCCCTGCCTAGACAAGACTGCAGGTGGGCAGGTGAAGGCTTAGAGCCCAGAATGGCACCATCCGGACCACTTCCTAGGTCTCAGAGAGATGGGCACCCCACCTTCCCCATGGAAGACAGGCAGATGGTGGGAGAAATGGACAACCTCTTCCAAATAGCCAGGCAACGCCTCAGACCCTGGGCCATACCTGCAGCCCTCTCTCTGGACTCCTAGACCCAGCCCAGCTTGTGTAGCACCTGGCTTACCTGGGAGGATCTCATTCCAGTTGACACGAATATAACGGTCCCGGTCAGCTCGTGAATGTTCATGCCAGAAGCCCAGCACATGCATGAGCTCATGCAGGACAATGCCCGAGCCCCTCTGGAGACAGGTGGGAGCCAGGGACACCACCTGCATCCCTCCACTGCGCCCCACGCTGGAGAAGCACCTGCAGGGCCATGAGAGTGAGCTGGGTAGGCACCAGCCCAGAGAGAGCTAGAGCAGACCCAGCCCATCCCCTCCTCCCTAGTTCTGGGATAAATGAGACAAACACAGAGTTGCCACCTGGACCCTAGTTCTAGGCTTGCTGTTCCCAAGTCCCTTCACTGCCTGGCCTTCCATGAAATGGATGCACTGAGCCCCATTACCATCCTGGGATACATAAAGGAGGTAGGGACTCATAGTAACACGGATAATGGAAGTAGCTGAGTGAATGTACCCACACAAGGAGACATGAATCAATGCTACCACACACATTAGCTAAGGCCCCCAACAAGCTAGGAAACAGCATCACACTCACTTCAGAGAGAAGGCAGAAGCTGCTTTGAAGTCAAGGGACTTGCCTGGAGTCAGGCAGTTCCTGCACTGTGGAGCCCACATCCAAGGCCAGCACTATCCCACCAAACCTGCACTCGCCTCCCAGACTCTGGAGTCTCCTAGGGATGAAGGCTTCATAAAGGAAGGCCAAGCACCTAACTCTCTTCCCACTTTCTGCCCTGAGTACTATAGGTCCATCTCACAGCAGGCAAGACACTCAGGGTGAGCAGGGGTATTTGGACCTGGGCAGACGGGCCCAGAAAGAGGTTTTATACAATGACTTTGTTCATTCGAGGCTGAACACAGGAGAAAGCTGAGGAACTCACTTTGCATGTGCACACAAACACACACACCCAGAAACACTTACCCGGACATGGGCACGATGGAGATGAAGTCTCTCTGGCCATTGTAGGCAACAAACCTGACGCATGTGAAGCGTTCAAACTCGGCAAACGCCTGCAGGATGACCTTCCGGCTGGGCTCATCTGGGGAGGAGACATCCGGCTGAAACCCCAGCCAGACCCCCACAGCCCTCATGGCCCCTGGAAGTCTGTATGCGGGGCAGGGAACTGAGTCTCAAAAATCACTGAAATCACCCCCAACCTGAAGTGTCAAGAAAAGACAGCATGATCATGTAAGGGGAAAATCACTGGGCTCCAGGCAGAGCCTGGCTGTGTGATCTTGGAGAGGTTGCTGTCCCCCAGCCACTTGGTCTCAGAATGGACCAGACAGTCCCTGGATGTACCTTCCCATCAGGTCCTCCAGGATCTCAACCGCCCCCTCCCACAGCCCCGGAGGCCCTAGGAATAAAAGAGCTTCTGTGTCTATGAGGCTTTTGTTTTGTTAGTTTGTTCCTTTTTGGTTTATATGAGTGAAATCATACGGTTTTTGGTCTGGCTTATTTCACTTAGCATGATACTCTCAAGATCCATCCACATTGCTCACAAATGCAAGATATCTTCTTTACGGCTGGGGAGCATTCCATTGTATATACGTACCATATCTTTATTTTTAAGGGGGGTGCTTCTGGGGAAAGGGATCTTTGGGCGGTGCTGTGAGAGGGGCCAAGGGGATGTAGAGGAAGAGGAGGAAACCCGAGAGGAGCACAGGCTACACTGGGAACAGGGGCGGCAGCCGGGAGGGGCTCGGCACTGGGCTCCCAGTGAACACTCACCGTACTTGCTGGACAGCAGGAAGGGTACCTCCACCACACCCCCGTTTTTGGGCCACTTGTTGTTTGTGGCCGACAACAGGTGGAAGGGACTCTGAGGAGAGAGGGCAGGGTTCAGGGACCCCTGGGGACACAGACCAGCCAAGCTTTATGGCACAGTGTGCCACACCCCAGACCACAAGAGGCCTGAAGATGTAAGTGGCCTGACAGGCATGTGATGATGGGAAGGCCATTAAAGATGGGGTAAAAGCTGGGAAGTCTGCCATGTGAATGGTGGTGCATAACCCAAATGTTTGTTTTATATAACACAGAACTTGCAACTGATTCTATCAAGCCGATAAAACAAAACACTCTGGAGAGGTTGGCTAGGGGTCCCAGCACCCCAGGATGGCCTAGTTCAGAAGTGCTCAGAGCTCCACCAGCAGCCCCTCCGTGGAGCACAGCAGCTCCCGAGCACCCTGAATGTGTGGTAGAAACAGGGCAGTATCCTCCCTGGCTGATACTAAGGCAATACCCTTGGCCTTGGCAGCTCTCATCTGTTCTTCCGCCATCCCAAACCTTCTGAAGCACAGGCTGCACAGCACCCAGCATGTCCTGCCCCACTGGCCAAAGGTTTTACTGGATTCTGCTCTTGTACCCCACGCTCATTGGGTAGTGGGGAACAGGGGCCTCAGAGGCCTCGCCCTGGCCTGTCAGCCTTGCCCTGCCTCCGGGGTTCCTACCCAGCCAGCCCAGCCCAGCCTCATGCCATGCTGTGCTGTCTGCAGGCAGCCTCCAAACCACAGAACAGTCTTGCTCTCACCAGGTCACTGTCCTATTCTAGAGCTTTCTGCCATCCCCAGTCTCCTGAAAGATGGCATTGCTCTCCTGAACAGAGTGTTCCCTTCTCCACGGGCTATTCGCCCCAATTCCCATCCATCCTGCTCCTGTTTTGACTCTGCCTGCCAAGCCCTGCCAGGATGGTGTCTGCCTTACTCCTTGTTCTATCTTCCCCAGACCACCAACACACCCCTACAGCCCCGCCAGCCTCTCTGCCAACCTGTGCTCTGCTCTCCTTTCATCCCAGTACTTCCTGAGCATCTCCCCTGGGCAGGATACCAGGCTGGGTCTTGAGGGCAAAGCCCCCTCTTTCAGGAAGCCTGCCCCAGAGGGTAGCATCTGGAATGCATTCAGGCTAGTTATTCCTAATAGAACATTCACTCTTACTTTGGCCAGATGGGATGTCTACTGAGCTGTGAGCAACAAAGAGATCTCTCCCACGTCACACCCCAAGACACCTGAGGATAGGAGAAAGCTCGGGGTTACTTATACCTACTCACTCACCGGCCGGAGGATGTCCCCCTCAAGGAGGAAGCTGTTCTCTGGTGTTTCCTCAGGAATGAGCCCTGGGAAGGACAGGAGGGTTGTGTGAGCCCAGGCCACCAGAGCACATGCTCTAAGGAAAGCCTTGCAGAGGCCTTGACTGCCAGATCAAGCAACACCTGAATCTGTCCTTCTCCAACTCTGGAGCCAGAGCCCTCTCCCACCCCCACCCAGCACTGAGGCTGTGTGGCCTCAGACAAGTCACGCAGCCCCCCTGAGCCTCAGTCTACAAAAGTGTGATGCTTCTCAGCCTGATCACACCCTTCTCTCATTCAAAGGCAGTCCACATCTCCCATGATCTCCATAGTCCCTACCAACGCCTGCCTCTGCGTTGGAGGCCCTCGGCTGCCAGGAGGCAGCCTTTCGTCCAGCTGTCTGCATCCACCCTGTCCCAAGCCACATCCCCCAGAGCACGTCCTGGGCTCTGCTGTCTCACCTCGTGCCCCATCTAGTCCCTGCCCTTCTGGGGGTGGTATTCAGGACCCTTCTGGTGGCAAGTAACAGCAATATCAGCCCAAATGACATAAAAGTAGAGTGAGCACTGGCTCCAAGGAGACTGGCTCTCTCCTTCTCCCTGCCTCCCTCACCTTCTCAGCTTGCCTCCCCTCTCCTTTTCTTTCTTTCCCCCCACCCTCTCCTTTGCTGACTCCATTTTCTGCCACAGCTGCAACCCCTCCCCATGACTGCTTTCGAAACATCTGAGCCTCATGAGGAATCCTGGAAAAAGGCCTGACACCCTGGAGGTGCCTGAGGTTGGGCTCCCTAGAAGCAGAGCCAGAGCTGGGAGCCACCAGGAAAGTTTCCCAAGGGACAAAGGAATGCTGGAGAGCTTGGAGGAAGAACAGTATTCAGCTGGAAGGCAGCCTCAGCCTGATCCTAGGGGAGGCCTGGGCTCCCATGGCACCATGGTCTTGTCCCACCTTGAGGCAGGGGCCAGACCTATGTACCTGACAGTTACTGTGGACCCCCAAGGGCAGGGAAGGGAGCAACTGCCCAACAACCCCGGCCGAAGGCCTGCAGCTGCATGGTCTCAGCAGCCAGCATTTCCAGCAGCTGGGACCAAGTGCTTCCCAGCTGCTACAGGAAGCTCATGGATCCATAATTGTCTGTGCTGCCAGCAACAACAGTAGCTAAAAGCTTTCTCTATCGCATCTAAAAACCAATGCCAGGAAAGCCTCAGTTTGAGTCTGGCTACCTCCAGACAGGTCAAAGTCACCAAAAGGTGGTGTCCTGTCCTGCTCCAGCTCCAGCTCCAGCTCAGCAGGGCCGGGGCTCCCGGCTGGCTTACAGAGAAAGAAGTGAGCAGACCACGTGGTGACTACCTCACCCGGGGTCCCATCCCTCAAGGCCTCTCCACTCCCCCAAGGAAAGCTTCTAACATCCGACCCCCAGTCTGTGCTTCTATTGGCCGTGGACCCAGCACATCCACATGTCCTCATGCTCCACCAGAGACCCCAGTCAAGGAGGCCATGGGGCTCGTGCATCACTGTCTCTCTGCAACCCCGGCTCATTCCCGCACGTCTGCAGGCCATGCGCAGCCGGTGGCCCATGTTTCACACAGCCAAGGCACAGAGAGCCCTGTACTTTTATCAGGCCATTTATAAAAGCCTATGCTTCCCCCTTCCTATAAAAATAACAAGCATTGGAGAAGACAGAAAAACAGACGTGGAAGAAGCGGAAGGTAGAGCCACTCCTCCAGAGCCCTCAAGTAAGCCACACGCTTCCTTCCAGCTTTTTCTGCCCGTCAGAGCAGTTAGCACAGTTATCACCACACTACGTGGTCAGTGTCATACCCTGCCACCCCACGACAAAACACAGTGTCCTCACCTTGGTTAATCGCAGGGATGTCCTTGTCCCAAGATGTCTGGGTCTCCTCAGGGGTCAGGTCTTCCGAGAAGCTGCTCCCACAGACTTCTGTACAGCTGGAGGCTGCGGGCGCTCCTAGGATCAAACCTGGCCCAGACACGCAGGGCCCATGGGGCCCCCATTGTGGGAGAGGATGTTGGAACATGGGGTGGGGGTGCGTGACCCTCCTCTAAGGGAGGTCTCAGGCAAGGAGTCCTGGGAGCCTGCCCCGCCTCCCCTCTCAGCCCCCGCTGGTGCCAAGCCCTAGCCTCGACAACTCTGAGGAAGAAGCTCCCTTAGCGGGACAGCTGAGCCCCAAAAGAGTGTGTGGGTGCCTGAGGTAGAGGGGGCAGCAGGAAGGAGGGCCAGGGGACAGACCTCAGGCTGCAACATAATGACACAGTGAGGGCTAGCCTCAGATCCTGCCCTACAGTGCCCTTCTCAGCCTAGGCCTCAACCTGGGCAAGCCCAGCCCAGGCAGCAGAGCCCGAAGAACCAGGAGTCTGGAGTGCCGCACCTTCCAGGCGGGCCCTCTGCTCCCAGGGTTTTCAGGAGGCCTCCCCGGGGGGCCCTCAGGAGCTGACTCTAGGATTATCCCTGAAGAGCCCATTCTTGAGCCATTCAGACCAATTCAGAGCCCTGCAGGCTCCAGTCACACCCTCTGGCCCCTCCCAGCACCTCTGCAGGCTGGAGCCAAAACAGGAGGGTGAGGCAGCTGCTTACCTGGCAAACAGAGCAGACCCAGCACCGAAGGCCAGAGACCCCCCATGCTTGTGCTGTCTGCCGTGAGCCCAGTAGCCCCAAAAGAAGCAGGAGCTGCAATCCAGGCAGGAAGAGGCAACCTAATTACAGACTTAGAGCCACCCCCCACCCTTAAATAGCAGCTACTCCAGCCCCCACCTGCAACCCCTCCCCAATCAACTCCATATGCAGACCCTCTCCAACCAACTCCTCCTGCAGCCCCGCCCACTCCTGCCTGTGCTCCCCACCTCCGGCCTCTGGGAAGCTCTAGGTGTCCAAGAGTTCTCCAGTCCCTGTGGAAGGTGCAGGAACTTTACACAGTGGGGTTAACAACAAATCCCATTTTACATTCTGGTCGAATCCTTTCTGGCCTGGCTAAAGTGGATGAGAGTGGAGAGAAGCTGGGTACAAGGCTCCCCGGGGAGAGGCATCCCACTGGGGCTCTGCCTCTGCTGAGGCTCCCTCCCACCACCAGGGGGCAGAGAGGAAGAAAGGTGCTGAGGCTCAGTGCTGGGAGGGGCCTCATCCTCCAGCACAGGGAAATGCTTTTCTTGACTCTGCCTGCGCTCAGATGTGGGAAAAGCAGCCTGAGACCCAGAGGCTCCCCCAATCTATCTGTAAAGGAGAATATGTTCACTACATTTTTATGAGCTTTTATTTTCGCATACATACAGAAAAGGATACAATCACAAGTGCAGGAATCAGGGAAAGTTCACAAGCTGAACGCCTGCTGTAAGCAACGCCCCAGAGAGGCCCGCTATGAGGAAGGGAGAATTCTTGGATACCTAGACCGTTGCGTGGGTGCTCCCCTGTTATCCCCACAACAGCCTTGCAGAAACAGCTTTGCAAAATCAGCATTTAGCCCCATTTCACAGGTTCAGAAACTAAAGCTCCTTGTCCCTCTTCCTGCTCCTCTGAATCCCCTCGGCCTTTCAAGAGGCCTGCCCTCAGAGTGCAGTCATCACGGATCTGCCTGGACTAATCTCCTGGAGGCCGAGGATTTGGGGGCTCTAGTAAAGGGAAGCCACAGAACCAAAGATGCTAGTTATTGTCCTCAAGCACCTCTCAGCATCCTGCTCTGCCTGCAGTCCAGGGTATCTCAAAAGATAGGAATTGGCCTTGGCTGGTGTGGCTCAGTAGATTGAGTGCCGGTGTGCAAATCAAAATGTCACCAGTTCAATTCCCAGTCAGGGCGCATGCCTGGGTTGCGAGCCAGGTCCCCATTAGGGGGTGCTTGAGAGGCAACCACACATTGATGCTTCTCTCCCTCTCTTCCTCCCTCCCTTCCCCTATCTCTAAAATTAAATAGTTTTTTTAAAAATATAGGAATTGTATCATAAAGAGAAATGATGAAGATAGATGCCTTGGCTGCCACATGCCCTGATGCCCAGATGCCCTGGCTAACACATGGAGCTGAACCTTCAGATGAGAGAGCTCAGTAAAATCACCCTAATAATTGATAATCACCCTGCTCAGGTAGAAAAACAGATTCTCAGTTAACAAATGCAGTGTGTCTTGAGAACATTATGTTGAGTGAAATAAGCCTGTCACAACAGGACAAATGCTGTGTGATCCCACAGACATGAAGTATACAGAGCAGTCAGATTCCAGACAAATGTACGGTGGTTGGCAGGGGCTGGGGAGAGGATGGGGAGCTGCGGTTTAGTCGGGACAGAGTTTCACTGTTGCAAGATGGAAACATTCTGGAAATCCACTGCACGGCAATGCAAACACACTTAAAATTACTAAACCATATGCTTAAAAATAGTAAAGATAATAAATTTTGTTGTATACTTGTTACCACAGTTAAAAATGTAAAAATAAATAAAAAGGGAGGAAGGGGAGCGAAAGAGACAGAGAGAGAGGAAGGAGGGGAGGGAAGAAGTGCAGTTAGTTTGGAAGACAAACTTACAAACCTGGGGAGAGGAAGGTGGAGTGGTTGCATGGGGTGGGAGGGGGTGATAGAGATAGGACAGGGTGGGGTAGGGGTGAGAGGATGGGGTGGGCGGGGCCTCAGCCACCAGCCCTGCCTCAGGTGAGGTGGGGTAGTGTGATGGGAGGGCCCAGTGACTCCTCAGGGGCCCAGAGGCCGCCACCATCCCAGGTGGGCGTGGTGTTCTGGGCAGGTCCAAATAAAAGCCTGCTCTGGACCTGATGGCCACCCCAGCCCTGCTGTTCTCACCAGACAGCAGAGGGAACAAGGCACCAGGGGGGCAGGCTGTTCACTCCGGAGTCTGCCCCTTGGAGTGGGTGCGCATCTGTGCCAGACTCCGGCACAGAGTGAGCAAACCGCAGGCCCTGCCCTCGGAACCATCCTGCTTGGTTGGGAGGCACAGCTGCACACCTGAAAACCTTTGCCTCTTGGGCCATCAGGAGCTACATTATCTGAGCACCTATTATGTGCAGGTGCAGGAGCTTTATGGAATTCATGTGTGTAAGTCTTGATACTACACTCCCAATTTAATATATAAATAAAAATAACCAAATAGCCAAAATCTTTTTTTTAAGATCTTGTTTATTTTTAGAGAGGGGAAGGGAAGGAGAAAGAGAGGGAGAAAAACATCAATGTGTGGTTGTCTCTCTCAAGCCCCCTACTGGGGTCCTGGCCCACAACCCAGACATGTGCCCTGGCCAGGAATCATCCAGCAACCCTTTGGTTCGCAGGCTGAGCTCAATCCACTGAGCTACACCAGCCAGGGCCAAAATCTTTAAGAAAAACAAAACTCCCTGCCCCACTGGGAAGTGCCTTGCCAGGCACTCCAAAAGCCCCAAATAATAGATAGCATTCTACAAGGTGACCCTTGAGCAGCATTTGGGAGGACAAAATAAAGTTAGTAAGATGACACACACATGTCTGAGGGCCAGAAGAGTCAGAGCAGAGGCTGAAGCAGAATGAGCTCTCAGAGCTGAACTCACAAGCCACCACGCCCCTCCGGCAGGCTCAGCAGGCACTCTCCACTGGGGCTTGGCCGGGTCCCATCTCACGTCTCCCCAGACGCCTTGTTCTCCTTGGACACCCTGGGCTCATAACCAACGTTCAGTGAAGACACACTCACTGGGTTAGTGTGGAGAGCAATGAAGCCCATCCCTGGTGACATGTACTCAGTACCAGACACCATGCCTCATGTCTTCTGGGGACAAGGAGCTGTGGAACAGGGGCTGTCATGAGCCCCAGCATGGACAGGAATTCTGAGGCCCAGGGCCCAACCTGGCAATGTGGAAGGGAGAGGCCGTGCTGCCCAACTGGGGGCAGGTAGAGTGGCCTGGCACATGCACACAGCCACAGGGAGAGCCACACACACAGCCACATGCAGACACATGCAGGAACATAGGATCACCCATGCAAATGACATACAGATGTAGGCAGGCCAAGAACAAGACACCCACACCCATAGGATGCCCACGTACACACACACACACACACACACACACACACACACACACACTTATCCACATTCTCCAGAAAGAAAGCAGGTCTGAGCAGGGCAGCACTGAGCCGTTGAGTGCTAGACACAGCCTTTTCCCACAGGACCAACACCTGCAACAGGGGTAGGCTGGAGCCAGTGTCCAGAAACCACCTGGGCAAGGCCGTGGGCGGCAGAAGAGAGCTGAGGCCCAGAGGGCACCTTCTGCCCTGGAGGGTGCACATGCATCTTCCTCCTTCTGTTTCCCAGGCACCAAGTCACAAGGAAAGGTGAGCTCTAATTAAGAAAGAGCTTTTGAGCATTTTCCCAGACATTGACTTGATACCAGATGCTTTAGAGTTGTTGTTTTTTAAACAAAACAATATTTTATTGACACATCCTCCAAGTTCAGTATAAATATAAAGTGCTAAGTTTCCAGCCCCCACCCACAGGGCTGGGAGGAAGTAGGGAGGGAGTGTTAAATGTCAGTTGAACGCAAATAACTTTCCAGCGCCAACATGGGCGTGAAATGCTCAAATACACACACGCAGGCGAGAGGCTCACACACACAGGGACACAACACTTCCTGGAGCCCAGCTCCCCAGGAGCACAGGGCTCAGGCTCCAGGCCCTGCGGTGCACCATCCCCAGACAGGGCTCCTGGTTGTCACAGCTTGTTCCTTGGGCTTCATCACAGCAGTGGGACCAGTGGATCCATGGGTGTAGAGTCCAGTTAGTTTCTGCCAAAGGATGGGGCTGGAGGGCAACAGACAAACTCTTCACTCTTGTCCCAAATGAGGGCCAGCCTCAGACTCCTAGCAGAAGAGCACCAGGTAAGAGAATCCAGCATTCCTGTACTTCCAGCACCCCCACCTCGGGGCTTTCCAAACTCCAAGGAAGGGGCAGCTCTCCTGAGGTGAGGGGCACTGTGAGGCCTGGAAGGGAGCCCAGCTGTCCCAGGTCGGCTCCCCAGAAACCGGTGGCCGTGTGTGCCTCGGTCCTGCCTCAGTGACACAGCACTTGAGTCTCAAACTGTAGCAGCTGTCCCATGAAACTGAAGTTGGGGGAGATGACCCCCCGGCGTTGCTTAACAAAGTCAAAGGCCTCATCCAGCCGCACCCGGTGGCTCTGTATGAGGTATGCCAGGCAGATGGTGGCAGAGCGGGAGATGCCAGCCTGGCAGTGCACCAGCACCCGGCCCCCGCTGTTCTTCACTGAGTCTGCAAGGGAAATGGGTGGGGGTCAGACGGGAAGTTGGGTGGGAAGGAGATGTTGCCCCAGTCCCTCCCCTTGGTCCCTGCTGCGGCCCCTCATACCAATGAAGCCTATGGCCTCCTGGAACCAGGCACTGATCTCCACCATCTGGTTGTCCTCCACCGGGATGCTTTTGTAGCGCAGAAGGCCCTCAAAGTGGTTGGGACAGCTGGCAGAGACGTTGAGGACAGCAGTGATACCACAGGCCTGCAGCCCCTGCAGATCTGATGAGTGGCTGCAGCTGCCCAGGAACAGGTAGGGCAAGATCTCCACGGGGCCACCCTGGAGGGAAAATGGGAGGGGCAGGGTAAGGTCTGCTTCACCCAGGCCTACAGGAGCCCTGAGGCAGTCCTGACCAGGACCAGGCTCTG